CACTCACCCAGCACACACTTTTGCCCCGCTCCCCTCAGGAAGGAGGTTGAGGAGCATTAAGTGTAGAACCACGAGACTGAGGAACAGCTTCTACCCTGAGGCTGTTGGACTCATTAATCTAACCAAGAAAATCACTGCAATTCCACTTTAAATGATATGTCACTTATCTGTGCTGCTGATCATCTCATGCTGCTGATCATCTCATGCTGCTGTATTCATTTGTACCCATCTGCTCACCATGGACTCTTGTTCGGGCTGCCGTTACGTTGTAGCATACATCTTAGATCTTTATTTACAGTTTCTTTTTACACTTTATATTTGTTATTTTTGGATGTAACTGGGACCATGAGTACATAATTTTGTTCCACCTCATGTACCATGTGATGTGAATGACAATAAAATGGACTTGAACTTGCATACGCCATCATTCTGACCGTGATTAAAACAGAAGAAAAAAATCTTGACTGAAAACTTTTCTAAACCTAGAGGTTACCAGAGTATATAATCTCAGTTACCAGAGTATAATCTCAGTTACCAGAGTATAATCTCAGTTACCAGAGTATAATCTCAGTTACCAGAGTATAATCTCAGTTACCAGAGTATAATCTCAGTTACCAGAGTATAATCTCACTGTGAAACACTCGCAGCGGCGCTCTCTTAAACCAGGAGTTTGGTCCCGTGCAAGTTGTACATGACCTCCTTAAAAAAGGCCAAGAAACACCGATTGGTGCCCTCACCTGCAGTCTCTGTAAATTGGGAACACTGCTCACACCGCCGTGTATCAGACAGCACAATCCATCCTACTCTGATTGTGGAAAAACTGGCTCTTCGAGTTTAATCCCTGTATCATTAGATTGGATGGCTTTAAAAATACCACAACACCCTCGCCCCTTTTCATTTTTACAGATGATGGAAATCCGTCCTGACCACATTCAAAATGACAGGAACTGTTCCCATTATACTGTATAGAACTAAAAATACATGATACTAAACAGCCACCATAAACATTCAGTGAGGATACATGTACTATGTAAACTAGAAGCAGAACATGGCCTCATTGATACTTGAATACTAGCGTTAATACATGTGCACACCAATATCTTAAAGATTTTCTTTTGATCAGC